ATTTCCGACTTCCAGTGCTTGCATGGTGTTCCACGCATGGTTAGTAGTGCTGGGTGATCAATAGTGTCGCACAGGGTCGGTTGATTTAATCGATTGTCTACCTGCAGTTGAAGAAAACGCCCAAGACCCCTATGCAGACGGTTTGGCATTCACCGACCTCAGTCAGGTCTCCTCCACCTTGTCCTCCTTCTCTCCTCCACATCCACCACCACCCAGCCCTCCGCGCGTCCAAACGCAAAACTCGAAGCCACTTTTGGCCCGTGGCCGCCGTCGGACGGATGTGCCAACGTCAAACGTCTCAGCACCACCCGTTCCACCCGGCCTTAATCCAGCCTTTTCCCCACACATGCCGCGTATGCTTTTTTGGCCATTAGCGGAAAGGTTTCTTTGTGTCTCACTACGCTAGTGTACTTTGGAGATTGTTTCTAGGCAACAGCTTTAGACTGACTGGAGTCGAGAGCAGAGGTGTTCTGTTTCCATCGTGGCCAATCATCCCATTTACCGTTCAAATGATTGACAAAACCAGAACCTGAGCTTTTAGGTGCTTCGCCATCAAGTTCATCCACTTTGTAGCTAAGGAGATTTGAAATATATATCCTCTGTTTAGCCTTTAGTTGTTCAACAGCCAATCGTCCTGCACTGTCACATCGAAAGCCGTTGGTTTTCTCCGCTCATCCACCACAAGCCACTGCCGCCTGCTTATTGTGTGTCCACCGATTTCGAGACTTGCCTTTAAAATCTCGAATTAATTCCTTTTGCGCCTTTTTAGTCTCCTTGTCAGGCAAGCTGAAGTCGATTGGGGTATCCGTCTCTGGTAGTCTTGATGGCGTGGACCTTCGGTCGTCAGAGAACTGCAACAATGAAAGCAAGCAAAATAGCGCCATTGATGAAAGACCGGTTGAGTGGTCTGTGCTTAGAGCCAGTAATGTTTGTTGGTTAGCCCAGTACTTTGGATTTAATTGGACTTCAGGTAATTCTGTTGGTTCCTGATTGAGCGTGTAAAAGTGTGTGCACACACACACACACGTACTTGGTGCCTGCGAGCAATCCGTGGTGCTAGTCTAAGTCGTGTCCATTCAGCTCATGCAGGTCTTTATTAATGCGCTCGTCAAGTTATGAAATGGCTGTCCACCTGGCCTCTGATTCACATCAAGACGGACGCATGATCCAGCGATGTGCGTTGCGAGGCTAGGTGAAGTTATCCCAGCGACCAATCGAAGTAATTCAAGTGATCATTGCATGGCGGTAATCCACGCACTTGGGGTTTAAGTGGCTTCAAGTTGTGAAAGTAACTGCATGCTTTGTGGTGATGGTGCTGGTGGTTCACATGCCAATCACTTTCTACTTCAAGGCTGCTCATGCAGAAATGTGATGTCTTCCACTGGGATCCATGACTGTTGTCCAACTTGTGGCGCTGGCAATGCAAAACTAGGCGTAATTCCTGTACAGTCTAGGAGCAGGCTTCCAGTGGTGTTTTGCGTTTTGTTTCATGAATTCAACTGCTCACTTATTCTTTTGCCACGTCTGCGGTTGCATTGTACATCGTGGTCTAAGCAACGGCAAATTTGTACATGAGGTTTGTTGTTGAGTGTCCCAAGTGGTGGTCAGTTTCCCAGTCAAGGTGCGTGAACACGCCGTAATGAGATCCACGCTGGAGCCGCGCAGACATCCGCTGCTATTTGCGTCTCTTGCTTGAGTGCGATGCTGATTTGTATAGGAGCACTTTCGTGAACTGTCGAGGTATGTGAAATTGCGCCATTTTATGTAGTGGCTCTAATGTCAGCACTGTAGCCCTAATTGTTGTTGTCTACGTTCGTCTAATTTGTGTTTGTGTCGTTTTTAAAAGAAGAAGAAGAAGGAGGAGAAGAAGAAATTTTTGCTCGTCTGGCCGAACTCCGGCGCCGCAATGACCTTTGCCGTTGCATTTGCTCACCAACTATCCAGTCGAAACTCAGGTCTGTAATGCCGTCGTGGGTTTGTCGATGACATTAGCGT